ACTCGCTCTTCTCTGCCACCGCAAGTCAAGCAAGATCCGAAATTTCCAAAGCAAGTATCATACGTTCCCACATAGTTCCTTTGGCAACCCAGAAACAACAACGACAAAGCCTTACATATCTCGCAGGACCAGCCCCTAAAGGGTCCCTAAATGTTACTACAACAGGGGTATCAGTGAGCACACTTAGATTCACAATCAAGATTCGGGATGCCCAAGATGCTGCATCCCAGGCACCTCTTCTCGCACCGAAAATCGGGAATCCCAAGAGCTAAAGCGCCCATAATATTCGAGTGATATCTAGTGACCTCCCTCATTTCTCGCTTTAAAAAAATGATTTATGCGGTCCGATGAACAGGAGGGCTGGCTGCCCGCACCGCTTGCTGGAAATACCGCCAGGAGTTTCCGCGCTTTTCCGGGCGAGTATAGCGATGCCCGGTGCGTATTGGGGTAGGGGGGCGGTGAGGTCGCCCCAGAGATCAGCGGGCAGGAAGTCATCCGGGAGTGGAAAATTCTACTTCGGATCGCCGGGTGAGCTATAGCGAGGACTTGGGGGGTGTGCGGATGGTAGTATGTCAGTTAAAGTGAGGAGGGATTTCACCGGCTTTCTGGCTCTGTCGCTCTCGAGTATATTTGGAAAGCTCGAAACCGCCGACTGAGTCATGTATCGATAGCAGTGTCTACTCATCTAGCCATAATCCAAAAAGTTTCCTCCGCCCTCACCACCAAATTGCCAAAACCGCAGGATCAAAGTCCTGCAAGGTCTAGTGGTATATGTATATCACCGGGCTGCTGGATCCTTGCAGCTACTATTTTTTCCAAAATGGGGCCTTGTCTAAGCAACGTCATTCTTATCTTGTCCAGCTCTCGCGAAGGCGAGATAACCAGTCGCGGACAACCTCACTTCCGTTTTTACGCTATTAGAATATCCAAACAATGGATTCGCGAGAAAGGCGAACACGGTCGGTGGTTAGGACGCCCGCACTCCTCGCCCAACCGACCGCTGTGCCTGTTCAAAGAAGCGTTTTTGCACGTGCGCCTGGGAAACGAAAAACCCCTCCGTTCAAAACATGTGAGGGTGGTCGAGGCGGATTAAAGGGCAGCCAAGAACCGGAACTCGTATTACGAACAAAACCTCATGTTTCGTGTGGGCTGCAAGTCGGCCGAGCCTTTATGAGCCTGTGAGAGGGTTTACGGTGCCGCCTTCTTCCAGGCGCTCGGTGAGCCTCTGTCGTGCTAGTGTTAAAAAAGCACCGGGTGGGTTTCTGACTGTGTAGCTGTACACATTAGCGTTTGGGTTGTTAGTTGCTGGTCGTTACTAGTTCCTGGAGCACCGGAAGTGAGAAAAGGGAACCGAACGTAAGGGATGATAGAAAGTTAACCCATAAAACCCACTTCAAGTGAAAGATACAGTTTCCACCGCTGCATCTACCATGACGTTCACGCACAGTACACATTCCTCTTCCTCCTCCCAAAAGAGCAAAACCCACACAAGCAATCCAAGACCATCTAACCGCCGTGACCCCGCTCAGCGCGCATTCGCTTCCCTCCCTTCGTTCTAGCACTGGCCCAGCCACCCCCGACCCCACCAGGGGGACAACATCAGTCAACCGATATCATACCACCCACGATATATCCGATAAACCAACCCAACCCCGGACGCCACCAGAGCGCAAAGCGCAAACATAACCCATCACCACCGCCAGGAAGCCCGTTGGTGGTCAAGTGTGCGAAGTGGGAGATTGATGAGAAAGTAGAGGCATATAGGAAGATGTGGGGAGGTATTTATTGGCAGTAAAGAGAGGTGTTTTCCTCCTGCTGCACGAGCTAGACAGAGCCGTACTTATGCTCATAGAAGGCCGCCTATATGGGTGACATGATTCCAGTTATCCCGAGTTGACCATACTTGAGTACTTCCATTACATCGAATCAATACCTCTAAAGCTTAGTAACATGAGTGACAAAGGATGATGTTAAAATGGGCCGTGTTCCGAACATGTTTCACCTAGCTGGTTAGCCAACATACAGTATTGTGGTACCGGTATGTAAGTACGGTACTGTTCTCGAATAGTGTGTGGGTGACAGTAGCACCGTATCGATACATGAGAATAAGAATAAAAATAGCTCGGGTACACAGTGATTGTGATTGTGGAGCGCAGCTAACTCGAGCACAGTGTCTTTAGGAAGTTGGGCCCAAGGGGGATGCAAGGGAGAGGCCTGCCAGTATCGTGTTGGTGGTCACGGGGTGGGGGTCGCGCTCGATGGCGTAGTACGGATGTGGAGCCGGTCGGGGGGTACCGGTACCTGAGGTACGGTACAGTACGGGGGAGTTATCGGTGGGCACAGCATGTGTTCAGTCCTACTTTGCGCCATTCCCCCCCCCCTTTTGCCCTTTCTCCCGATCGAAGGTATCATATGATAGTAATAGGGGACGGGGGAATTATGTATCCAATCTTTTCCAGCTTCTCCGAGACTTTTTAGCACATCTGTCGACCGAACGATCCATACCGGTATTTCTTCGAAACAAACTTTCACCCCACACCATCCCCATCACACCCCGTTGGAGCCCGCGTTCCAGAAGTCCCAGAGGCTGCGAGCTACCGTGCGAGCCAAACCCGAAAAAGGGTAAAATCAGAAGGGCGATTCGATGAGGATACAGTACTCGTACACCTTCATTTCTCGTGTTCGCGGCTTCAGATTAGTCAGTGTGCCTTCGGGTGGATAGGCTGGCAGGTAGGTGAAGACGCTAGCCCTCTGCGGTTCCTGGAACGCCGGTGGAGTAAGCAAAACCACAGTCATACCTCCCTGCAGCGCCCTTACAGGACCCCACGCAATCACCTTCTCTCACTCGAGTTTCCATCCAACGTGGCTTTTTTGAACCCCCAACGAGCCAAGAGGCGCGATAGACAGGAAAAGCGATAGTCGGTAGAATGTTTGATCTAGAATAGAAAACATTGTCAGAATAAATAGACAGCGAACGAGCATCGCAGGGAGCAGGTATTCCCAAGTGCTGTCGTGCAGAAAAAGCACACTGTTGCATGAATCCAAACCCCGTTTCGGGGAAGGGATTAAAAATGGGGGTCTATTTAGTTTACTCGAGTAGCTGCTCGGGGGATCAGGCAGACAAAACACCAACAAGACAACCCGGGTGTCAAATAGTCATTTTCTTTCTTTCTATCCCTCCCACGAGTCAAAAATATAAACATTTCCCCCATTCAGCCGAATCAGCCGAAGCATGTCCATTGTGAACTTATCGGTTCGCCAACGGTAGGGCAGATCCCAATCTCGCTAAACTGCCTCAACTAGGATAGTCAAAAATAGTAGCCAATCATACAACTCACTTATCGCTCAGCGTTCCTTCTCGCAATGAACGGCCCCGCCCAGCCAACCAACAACCTCGTAAAGGTACGAGTACTGTACGGTACTGTACTTGTACTCGTACCTTTTTTGCTCAGCGAAAATGTAGACACCCGGGCACATGACAGGAAAATGTAACGAGGGAATTGAACTAGCGGGGATGAGCGGAGATGGAGAAATTATCGTGGGGTTTCTCCACCGTTGATAGGGTGCTGAATGTTATGGCTGACATTTCCCAGCTCGATCGACGATCAACCTTGTTACTTTCTCTCCCTTCGCTTAGCGTGATGGACGAGACCCAGGTTTAGTCTCATCTCGTGAATTAACAAAATGGCCGTGGCTAATATTATACGAGTACGAGTACATTACCAGTACCAAGCGTGGCTGGTTCTATTCCTTGATCTCTCGCTCATATGGCGAGTTAACGGTAGGCCGCAGTGGCGTTTATAGCATGCGTTTTTTTTGTTTTTTTCCTCGTTCCCTTCATCACCGTTAGATTAGTCCTGAACTGAACAGCACTTGCACTCAAGTCGCGGTGCTCGTGGGTTTGCCGTAGGGGATTTGGAAATGGTACCGGCATTTCCAACTGTCAATAATGTCATGTCACATCCCGTCGGGTGGGGACAGTACTCGAGTACGATTACCGGTACCGGTACTTGTGCTCGAGCACACAAGATGCTAAGAAACCAACATTAACAATTAGTTGGAGCGGGGAACACACGGGGGGTGAGGTCGGATGGGGAAATCGTTATCCTTTAATCTATTCGTCGGCTGTACCCGAGCAAGAGATGCACTCCCCGGGAGTCCTTTTCTTTGTCAACTCCCCCCCTTGAGGGTTTCCCCCAAAGGGGGGTTGCATACAAGTATTTCCGGCAGCGTTTCCCGAAATGTACGGTTTTGAAGTATTTATGTCTTGTGCGTGATTTATTTGGGACTTGTTGTCTCATTAGTACTATGCAGTGGTACAGTACCGTAAGGAGAGCACAGTAGGGAGTATCTCGAGGGTGTGTAATGAGGAGAGGAGAATGAATCTCTATTTGTTCCCCGGTTGGACAGGGGCCTGCAAGGGGGGAAGGGGAGGAGGGGAGAGATACCACATATCTGTCTCGCAGGAAACAGAGGCGCTCTACGGTGAACCACTGAAAAGACGTTATCCTTCCCCTGCCAAGGCTCGTCTAACAATAGTAGCACAGAACATTGCCAACCTATTCGCTAACCCTTCACAACCAACAATCTTCACAGCCTGTCTCTCACCCGCGATGCAGGTGCGGTTACGATCTGGTACGAGTAGTTGGCAGGGTGGGTGGGAAAAAGGTGTGTGGTGGGTGGGAAATTTCCGGGGGCGAATAGTAGGTACATAAAGAACACCCGCCTGCTCCCCCCTCAGGAGTAATCTATTTTTTCCTGTCACCAGCACAACACAACACCTTGCGAGCGTCTATCCTGCCCACCATTTCATTGTCAGCCAAAACCCGTACGGTACAGGATATCGAACATATAAGGAAAAGCTAGAATCCTCGCAGCGCGAATTTACTGCCTATCCTACAGCACAACCACTTACTATTCACATTCAGTATTTCCTTTGCATAAGTCTTTTCCTTGTTTCATTCACAACTGCCTGCAAGATGGTTCCCCGAAGGAGCATCATGGCACTATGCCTCTTGACAGCCCTCACCACTGTCGCGGCTCAAGACCCAACCATTACATCAACCTCTGTGGGCGTCCCGGCAAATACTCCCGCCCCCTCAGTAATCACTGTAACATCACCTGTTGTCGAATCGTCCCCCTCGCCAGTTCCCGATCCCGCTTCCGAAGGCACGGAATACTACCCATCGGCTCCGGGCCAATCCTACGACGACGACGATCCGAATGCTCTCATCGACGAGACAAAGGAGAGCAATGAGGGAGCGTCTGGGAAGTCGGATACTTTCGTGAACATTCCCCTCGGGGCTCAAATCGGCATTATCTCGGCGGTTGTGGTGGTGGGCGTAGCTGGGATGGTTCTCAGCGTCATGTGGTATCTCAGGAAGAGGAGACAGTGGGAGTTGAGTGGAAGGCGTTCGACCATTCCGAGGATCGGCGTCAATGCCAAGGGCGAGTTTACCATGGGTACTCAGGGCGATATCCCTCACAGGGCTCCCAGGCTCCGAGCTCCGAGCCCCGTCGACAGCTTCGACGACTCGGCTCTGGAGAAGGGGAATGTAAAGAGCGAGTTTGAGAGTGAGAGTACGAAGTCTCCAACGGGTTGGAAGAGGATTTTTTCGAGAAAGTAAAACTGTCATTGCTATTTTTCTTTCTTCTTTTTCTCACTTCCTGCTACTCATCCTTCGCTTCTCGGATAAATATTTTGGGAAATTTGTTTCTTCTTCTCTGTCACGGCTTCACGAAAATTTCCTTTCTACCTTCTCTTTTCACTTCATAGGGACAGTTGTTTGTAGGGCTGGTGTGGGGGGGTGTGGGGGGGGGGGCACGGGTTACAATTTCCTTTTTTTTTTTTTTTTGCTTCTTGGGGTACAGTACATATGGGTTCTACCATTTCTTTTTTTTTTTTTTTTTTTTTTTTCAGTCTGCCAGCAAGACAACCTGTTAATTAGTGTTTACATTCTCGTGGGAAGTTTTCTTCACAACTCCCACAAAATTACTTGGGAAAACGGGGAAGTCTTTTTAGCAAAACCCCGAATAAAGTAAAAACCATTTCTGTGTATATAAACAATTCCTCAAACGGTGAGCGTGAGAAAATCCCGGGGTAGACGTGCTTGGCGTTTCACCCGTCGCGTTGTGCAATTCTGCCTCTTTGCCCGCGCGCTTGGGCTTCTCACTTTTTGCACTTTGACAGCAACGACAACAGTCAGCATGAACGATTACTCGAGTAATGGAGGGATCTTCGCCCCACGAAGGGTGGCTATTCTTCCAACCAAAATTGAGAGAAGCCGATGCTTCGCCTTCTTGTATTGCTTTGAGGGTAGTGCTCTGCCTATACCGGTACTCGAACTACTTTTATAAATTGACCCGACCGGTGAATACAAAGTCGAGACCGACGACGACCACTTATTGGGTGGGGGGGGAGGGGATTTTGTTACTCTTAGAGCATAGTATAGTACTGTACTAGTAATGTTTTCTTCCTTGGCTCTCAGCATGGTGAAGCAACTAAGGTGTTGTGGAACAACGGTTTGTCCCGCCGGACTGCAGAACTAACCGGCACAGACCATAACCAAGGTGATAGGATAAGTCGGAATCTCCTTTTCCTGCCCAGCCCGACTCCTTGTCGACGGCATACCGAGGGGGTGGGGGGGGCTAGGGCTTGTGGATCGTGATACTGGAGTAACTGCCGGTCGGTGGACATGGGAAAGCTCCTACCCCCTTTTCACCCAACATCCCGTGTTCCAGATAACGGCGGATTGCGGAGCTCGTCCACGACTCGCTCGATTTCCACGGATTATGCAGGGAAGGAAGAAGGAATATTCCTGATCCAATATGATACCCTACTAATTTAGTTATGCATTACCGGTTCACCGTTAGTTACTCGAGTACCATGAATCCACCCCCCGCATCGCTCGCTTTACAGTATTCCACGGCAAAAACAAGCCCACATAAATGATCACTGTCCTGTAATTATTCTATGGCGTCCTCGCTTCACTGTTGTTCTCACTTCGCTGTGGGTTTTACCGTACCCCTATGCACGATTTCACGAACATACTACTTGCACTTGTCCAGCACAGTGCATGCATACACCGCAAAAGGCACAGAAGAGGAAGAAAAACACAAGTCTTCCTCTTCTCTCCTTTTCCTTTCTGTCCGTAGGTATGATACTCCTGCCTGTGCACGCTACCACAAGCCCGAACAAAAAACGCCAACATGACCAGCCATTGTCACAGAAATCCTGCAAGGTTCAACCAGGATCAAGTGCTGGTGACATGCCGTACCGCACCATGCGACCCAGCAAAACGGCCAAGATATCGCAATCACAAGATAAACGTCTCGAGACTTCTCCTTTACTGTAACTTCCGGTAATGAATCCTCGTCCTCAGGTATTATATCAAAAATGACATTCGGAAGTACCCCCCTGGAATTTGGTATCGTGTCATATTCTGGTGGGAAGGGATATCGTACCGAAAATTATGGATATAACCCTTTTTTTCGGTTGTTCCTTGGGGCGTGCGCGAACTTTTACCTACCCAGAGGGAAAGCGCTATCGGTATCGCTACCATAGAAGGTATACCATGTCATCGGTTAAAGAGAATTAGTCGGGTGGATTTTACCCGTGAAGCGATATGGCCTATCATGAGGGTCCGATTTCCAAGATCAGTTATTCCACGGAGAATACTTGTATGAAACCATTCGGTCTTCCGTATGGGAAACATCCCCCACCCGGGCCCGACTCGGATGAAACTGATTGGTACTGTGAAGACGGAGTGGTCAATGCTTGTACTCGAGTAAGGGGCTCCCGGGCTCGTTGGGGTAGGTCTTGGGTTCTCGTTTCTCAGTCGTGATACTCGGGTACGGCACACGGGTTGGTCCGTGAACATTCCCAATGAATGGCGAATTCTGTCTGATACGCAGCTACTCGAGTACCGTAAGCCTACTGATTGAGGAGAAGAAATTCTGCGAAACCATGCGATTTTTTTGCTTGCCGGAGGGGGTGCTCGAGTATCTACCGGTATGGCAGCTGCCGTAGGCCAATACGGTGGTGTTCACGTCTTTTTTTCTTCTTTCTTTCATTTTGGGCTTCCCATGCTGAATCAACTCCTCTGCCCACACTCCTCCTGCCGAAAAAACAAAAACAAAACAAATTTAAAACCAAACTACCGTACACCGTGATATCCCCACATACCCCCTTTTCGCGGATTAGCTCCCCCACACGAGTGTGATAATTGTTGAAAAGCCAGACCGTTGCTGGAGGTGATTCTAGTAGGTGTTCTAGCATCTTGTCCCCCCCGCATAAAAAAAAAGAAGAAATTATGTGATACTAGTACCGGCACTACTCGAGTATTGAGTGATCACACAAGACCATTCTGTCATACTTTCTACAGAGCCAAGTTATGGAAATATGGCCGGTAAATTTTAGTATTCTCCCCTAGCTTAGTCTTTCTTTCTTTCTTTCAGAACACCTTAACGGGAGACATTATTTATCCCAAGAGCCACACTTGGTCACTCGCAAATCCTCTTACATCAAAGGGCCAACTACCAACGCGGTAACCAAGTATCATAGCACAATCCCTACCAAGCGGGCACACGAGGAATATATGATCCACCGCCACCTCCAGCCACTCCACCCCACCTTCCGGCCATAGTCCCGGCATCCAAAATCACACTCCGCACCCGGAGGCCGCCGCCGCCTCGCAATCATCAAGCCCAGCGCAAAACCTCTCGATAGGGGGCCGAACTAGGTTACCGGCCTCCCTTCCTGCCTTCTCTAGGGGCTCACTCCGAAATATACCATACATTGAGAATGGGCACCCCTACAAAGTCTCGAGGAGAAGGTTTGAAGGAGGAAAGGGGGGTATACTTGCACTAGGGCTGGGGAGAGTAATTAATGATGGGTCTAGGGGAATAAATGGGGGAGCCCGGGGCTCAGGTTGGTTCACTAGAACGGGTGAATCATAAGAATCAGTACAACGCGCGAGTGATTATACATGACACCCGTGAGAAAAAACTTTAGCCTGGTTCAGCATCATCTACCAGCCACTAGATGTCTGAGCCTGTAGTCGTACAAGCTAAACTGGCTCGTCCCGTGCTAGTATCGCGAGAAAGAAAAAGAAAAAAAAAACACATTTCTCTTCTCCCTTCCTAGGCAAGCATAATTCTCGAGAACGCCCTAACCTACTTCATCAGGGTATCAAGTTCTAATGATTAGCATCCACATAATATTATGATAACAGATAAAGAAGGCGGCGTCACACACCCTGCAAAATTTCCCGCAGACAGGATGGAGGAAGTAGTACTGGGCAAACCCCCATCTTCCCGAGACTTTCCCAAGCATGACGGACTTCTCAGACTACTGAGGATGTATACTAGAACACGAACCCACATAAACAAAACTTTCTTCTCCGGGGGGTACTTTACCTTATAGAGACTATGATACTTCTCGCGGCCGGCTTGGGAGGTGCATACCGTCCGGTCATGGCTTATGGTGATGCCCTACCTCCTCACCAAATTTGAGTACGCAACTTTTTTCCCGAATATATTCAGAGGTCAGGTATATAGTTCCGGCACGCAGACACGCCCAACGGGTTATATGATGCAAATTTACAGTACCTAACATGTCCCGCAAGAAATCGAACCAACCAAAACGACAAGAAGATTACTTCACCGAACGGTGCGTTCCGTGCCTAGCCCTCGCGGATCCGTGCACTCTGGACTCGGGGGTATGACATACGGTAATCGGGTAAACCACAGGACATCACTCGAACCCAGGTTTCAAGATGATAGCAGCCTGCTGGAGAGGGGATATAGGTAAATCGGGGAAAATGTATCTTAGGCTGCTTATGGGAAAGGAGTTCGGAGGGTTTGTGCACCGGCGGTATAGGAGATCGGGGATTGTCAGGTACGAGGGTACCGACAAGTGTGGCAGACACTCTCTATTATTGCTCGAGGTAGGAGATCCTCACAATGAGTATAAAGAGCAATGATACACTCGAGACAAATTTATAAATACGGGTCGCTGTCACTGCTAACAATTCACACGGAACATTCGTTAGTAAAAGACGGTTATGTTACAAGACCAATGGTGATAGTGTAGTTTGATGGCAAATGAATACCTTCGGCGACCGGTTCCGTCGTGTCTGTCCTAGAGCATCTGCATAGCATTCAGTAATTACAATAGCTCTCTCTCATATGGATAGATCGGAGGAGGGGAGAGAAAAAAAGCTCCGCCGATCGCGGACCTCAACCCCGTTCCTTTAGGCTGAGGTCTAGAGTCGGATTCAACCACCTGCCTCCCATTTACCATAGGGCGTCAGGAGTGGACCATTCTCCTGCCCTACATGATGGAACGTCCGATAAATACTCATTTCTGAGCAGGGATCGAACTCCTGGGCTCCTGCTAAGTGCACAGGAGTTAAATGGTTCTTTAACACTAATATCAACCACTGCGCCAGCTAGGAATTTCATAGCATACTACCTTTGAAACAAATACTTATCCTACCAGTAGGCGGATTTATCTTTTTTTCTCAAACAAATTTAAACCAAACTACAGCCTGATACCCCCCCCCATACACCATTTTATTCGCGGATTAGCTCCCCCACACGAGTGTGACACTTGTTGAAAGCCTAGACCATTGCTGGCGGAAATTCTAGTGAATATTCCAGCATCTTATCCCCGCCCGCCCCCTCAAAAAAGAAATTATACCAGTACCGGCACTACTCGAGTATTGAGTGGTCACATAAGGTCATTCTGTCATACTTTCTATAGAACCAAGTTACGGAAATATGGTTGGTAAATTTTAGTATTCTCCCCTAGATTAGTCTTTTTCTTTCTTTTTCGAACACCTGAGAAGGACATTATTTGTCCCAAGAGCCACACTTGGTCACTCGTAAATCCTCTTATATCAAAGAGCCAACTACTAACGCGGTAACCAAGCATCATAGCACAATCCCTACAGAACGGGCACACAGTGAATATATGATAAGTGAAGTATAGTATTGATGGCTGAGTGCTCCCTGAATCAGGTGATTGGTGTGGTGGGGCGAGAAGTGTGGGGGGGTACAAGCCTA